GGAGCGGGTCCAGAGAAGGGCAACGAAGCTGGTGAGGGGTCTGGAGAACAAGTCTTATGAGGAGAGGCTGAGGGAGCTGGGGTTGTTCTGTCTGGAGAAGAGGAGGCTGAGGGGAGACCTTATCACGCTCTACAACTACCTGAAAGGAGGGTGTAGAGAGATGGGGGTCGGTCTCTTTTCTCAAGTCACAGGAGATAGGACAAGGGGAAACGGCCTCAAGTTGCACCAGGGGAGGTTTAGATTGGATATTAGGAAAAATCTCTTCACGGAAAGGGTTATCCAGCATTGGAATGGGCTGCCCAGGGAAGTGGTTGAGGCACCATCCCTGGAGGTGTTCAAAAGATGGGTTGACATGGTCCTCAGGAATATGGTTTAGTAGTTTGTTTTTTTCTTATTTATTTTTTTTTGTCAGCGTGAGGTTGATGGTTGGATTAGATGATCTTTAAGGTCCCTTCCAACCTAGATGATTCTATGATTCTAAGATTATTATTAATTATTATATTATTAAGCAACCATAACAATAACTTAATAATAAACAAATAAACAATCCCTACCCTCCCTCCTTCCCCCCCCTCAAACAAGCCTTTAAAGGGGAATGAGGTAGCCAGAATCTCATGGTGCATAAAGCCACGGGGGAGGGAGGCGCCGGCCCCGCGCCCCGCCCCGGCCCCGCTCAGCCCCGGGGGCGCGGATCGGCGCGGAGCTGCGCGGAGGCGGGGCGCTGCGATGTGCAGGATGTCGTTCAAGGTGAGCCGGGCGCTGGAGCGGGGGGGGGATGCCCGTTTGGTGCTCGCCGTTTCGCCGGCATCCCGGGAAATGCTCCCTTATATCCTTGGATCTGGGGACTGATTGGATTTATTTTTATATAAATATATATATTAGGGAAAAACGGGGGTGGTTTAGGGAGGAAGGAAAGCAAACAGCAGCCTCCATCCCGGGCTGTGGGGTGCCCCGGGAGTGCTGCGGTGGCAGCTGATGGAGCGGGGGCTGACACAGCTGACACCCCCCAAAAAGCTGCGCGGTTGGTGTTACATAAACTGCAGCCCTCCCTCCATCGAGCTTCTCGCCGGCTTCCCGGTGGCCGGGCTTGGGGTTTGGTGCAGTCGGGAGCCTCCTCTCCACTTTTTCCCAACCATCTCTGCCGGTGCTGGTTGTGTAATAGTTAGGAGGCAGCATCTATCCCTGCTCTTCTCCTCAGGCTGTGGTGGCCACTGAAGCCAGGCTGGTTCCTTCCCTTTTCTGTCTGTGTTCCCTGTCACTGTTTGTGCTTCTTCCATCCAAAACCATGCAAGAGCAGTAATTTTCCAAAGATCGCCTAAAGTTGTTGTTTTTTTTAATCTGAGGACAGGATTAATAAAGTCAAACGGCAAAGAGGGAAACAAGTAGCGATTTGCTGATGGTAACAGATAATATTTATGCTAGATGTACATCTTCTCCTCAGGTAGGCACTTTCTGGATGCTGTCCTTGCCCTTCTCTTATTGATCACCAGCTCTGTGCCAGTCCTTTGCCGTGTTGCTTGTGTTGCATTGCTTTATTTGGTGGATTATTCCCTGTACTTGCCTCTCACTCCTGCCAGGGTGCCTCCCTCAGCCCAGGGAGTGCTGGTGCTGTGGTGGCACCGTGGTGGTTGGATGGTGGTGGTGCAGCAGGTGGTTTCCACCTGCAGTTAAAGTCCTGGTGTGGCAAGGAGCAGGGTACCTTTGCTCACAGCTCAGCCTTACGCTGGGTGGTGAACTCTCTGTGGTCATGCCCTTCTTGGTCCTGCATTGGTCTCATACCTGCTTTTTTTTTTTTTTTTTCTTCTTAGGTTTAGTTTATTCTGTCCCTCCATTCTGTCTCTGTGAGTTTTTTCCCACCTGCATTTCTCACAAGCATCCACCCTAACAGATACTAACTCTATGTTCTTGGTGGTTCTTGGTGGTGCCAGCCCCTTCTTCTTGCCACTTTCTCCTTTTTTTTTACCTAGTCCTTCAGGTCTTCTTTTCTGTTCTGTTCCTATCAGCTCCTTTTCTGTGCCCTATTTCTCACTTTCTCTTCCCTCAAGTACTCCTGGTCAAGGTAGCTCACTACCTGCTCCCTCTCCCTCTGGAGAACTGCAGCCCCCACCTCCCTCTGATTTCTCTCTCTTTGCTGTGCGTTTTTGCTTGGCATTTTCTCTTTCTCTCAGAAGACTGTGTTTAGATTCCTACTGTCTCTGTTTGCTGCTGTCTATTAGTGTTTTCCATCTTACCATTCTACTTACCCACAAGTATCTTTCATTCTCACCATCTGTACACATGAATATCCTCTCTTCTTCTACCAGCTCTTGCCTGTATAAACTTAAATTTATATCTTGGAGGACCTTTCTTTTTTATCAGGATCCTTCATGTCTCTGTCCGTGGCAGGGGGGTTGGATATAGAGGATCTTTAAGGTCACTTCCAACCTAAACCATTCTGTGATTCTATTATTCTATGTAGGATGTATTGCTGGCTAATACAGTCCTCTCTCTTTCCTCCCAAGTTCGACTAACATTTCACATTGTATCGTGCTTGATCCTGGTTTCCAGTTCTACTTCTTAAAACTTTTTACGCAATTCCTTCTTTCCATTAGGACTAGTTTGGAAACTGAGAAAGAAAAGGGAATTTCCTTGGTTTGTTGACAGTACAAGGCACAAGCCACTGGGCTAGTGTTCTCTTTCTCCTCACTTTGCTTTCTCTTTCCCTATTGCTTCTTTTCTTTCATCTTCAAGATCACAGTTTAAGAATTGCACTCTTCTTCCTCAGCTGTTATTGCACTGTGACCTACCTCTTCTCTCCAAACAGCAAGTCAAAGGTTGGGCAGGGAGCGGGAGGTGCTCATCGCAGCATTTAAATGATACTTTTCCTCTCAATATTCCTATGATGACACATACAGATATATTATCACATTTTATTTTTTTCTGTATTCCTGCACAGAAATGGTCTTGTCAGATGTATAACATATATTTTCCTCTAGGCCAATTTTTAATAAGTATTTTTGCTTGATGTCAATACAGCATGAATATAATGCCAGCTTTTCATCTCGTAAAAGCATACAAACAATTGAAATGAATAGCACAGCCAGAGTTTGAAATAATGCTTTAGAGATCTTGATGAAGTGGAGGAAATTGTATCTCAAAAGTTGCTGATACTGGAGCAAGTGACATAATGAAACATGTCATTTTCACCAAAGCTATTAGCTAATCACTTTTTCAAGTGTTTATTACGTTCTGTTCCCAGACTGCTAATGCTGAGGGTCAGTTGCTTACTTTAAAGAGCTTTTAGGACCAGACTAGCTTTAGAATGAGAATTTCATGAAAATTGCATCCAGGTGAGCTCTTGAAATTCCACATTACCTCTCCCTAAGAAGTATCCGATGAGTCAAGATTGAATTCATAACTGAACAACAGCAGTCAAGGTGTATGCCATATCCTGCAGTTTAAAACCCCTTTACTGCTCAAAAATTGTTCAATTAATCAGATTATTAATCCCGAAGTAGTGTTTTACATTTTGCCTGCTAGTGATGTCAGTACTGCTGATATCACCTGAAAATGAACAGCACAGAGGTATAAATCCTTGGTTTGAAAGCAGAAGAGAAATTGCCAGATGGTAGTCCTTGAGGCTGTCCTTGCAGGGTGCCCAGATCATCTGAGTGACTTTGCGCATTCCATTCATTTTAGCTGGTAAAACAGCTCAGATTTGTGTTTGCTTTTTTAATCTAATCACTGCATGGTTGATGGTGTGAGTGTGCTGTACACTCTCATATGAGGAATCCCCAGCAACGTGGAGGCACGAGGGGAAGTACAAGTACTGATAGCAGTTATTTCTAATTGGGTCAAAAATACCACTGGGAAAAACCTGGTTTTGTATCCTTGATGCACTGGAGAATTCTTCCATTCCTTGGGTCTGATCCAAATTACAAGGACAGCTTTGCAGGAGGGCTACTATAGGAATTACAGGGGGAAAAAGAGAGGGTAGGAATTTAAGACTCATAAGGCTAAAGACTTTGGACTTCTAGTTCCAGACAAGGCATCACCGGCAACTTAGTTCTGTTCTCTCCTCATGTAAACTGATGAAAGCAAGTAAAGAGTTCCTGAATATTGATTCCAGTTCCTGCCTACCTGATCAATAAAGGCGTTGTCGTATGGTAGGCATAATAAAATGCAGTCACATTGCTACTGTGTTCTCATACTGAAAACCAGGCCAGATAAATACTTCCCTGTATGGATATATTGACATACCCCAAAGCTTTCTAAAACTTTAAGGAGTAGAGTGAGACAATAAAAGGTAAGGAATTTGGTTTTCCATTTTGTAAGGTCTGAACATTATTCTTTTGTAGTAGCTTTCTGCTGAATATCACAACAATAAAGACAATCAGACAATATTCCTAACTACTGGCTCTGTAAACAAGTATCTGCCTCATAAATCAGAGAAACAAGGGCAACATGAGTTACTGAATGTTTAGGTCCAATGTTTGCTTTTACGTAAAATTTTAGTGTTTGTAAGGGTAAAGATAGGAAAACACTACTGCGTTGCCAGCAAGGAGGGTGTAAACTGGTAGCTCTACTTTGATCAGTGTTATCTACAGATTCACCAGGGAAAATGTATTAGCTCTAAAAGGAAGGTCAGAATTTAGCCTACTGTGTTTGCTAAGTCTTTCAGACTCCTGCCCCTACGTGTGCCGGTCCAAGAAATACCACTATCAATTTATAGGGATTGCCTTATAATTTATTGAATGTTGGAAACTCCTCTCAACTCAAGCAGCTGCCAGTTTTCCAACCTATGAGTATTAAAAATGCCACCCACAGAAAGTGCTCAGTGTGACCCGTCTGGGGTAGATTCCCACAGGATTGGTCTTGTGTCTGCTGGTTTCTGCGAGGTTAATCACCTGCCTGTCAATGAAGGAAGCAATTTAAACTCTGCTTTATGTGTGCATTTTAAGTACCAACCATAAAACCATTCGGTCCTGATTCTGTACCACGTTACATGTGCCCGTTGACATTTAGACATGGAGATGTGTGTATTGCATTTTCTGAAGCAGAATGATTGACTTTTGTATCCAGTCTGCACTCTCTTTGGGTTGTCCTGAAGGCAGGATTCACTGGAGAGCAAGGCCCCCGGGGCGTTTTTCACACTGTTTTGATCTAAGATGACTATCAGTGAAATGATGCTTGACTGAACTCTTGGTGCTTTTGGGCCTTATTAAAAAATGAGTGCAATGCTTACCTGTCAGAGCAGCATTTTGGCAGCTGCCTGCAGGGATCACATAGGGGGGGTCAGGAACAAAGTCTGTTTTTTCCTGCTGTCCTCCTCCTATGCTGGGGCAGTGATAATTTGCTCCTACCCAGGAGAAGTCACACTGTGGCATTGTTTCTAGGACTTAGAAAGCCTCAAAGGAGTATTATATTACTACCAATTTGGTTAACAGTGGCCTGTGTTATCTAGATTTCAGAGTTTCCTAATTTTGCCTTACATATTGCCTTGTATACCTAGTAAATGAATCCATAAGCATGTAGACAGCAAGATTTTAGCCCTTTTTTAGATATATATATATCATCACCCAGGAGATAGCTCATGTGGCCACAGTGACAGGGTGTTAATTCCAGGGAGGAGGCAGGCCAAACAGTATGGGAGATGCATGAACAATATTTTTCCTGTATTGGGACTTTATGTGCAGAAAAGAAGGAGATGGCAGAGAGCTAACCTGAAACCCAGGAGGATGTCCTGCAGCAGGACATGTCAGCAGGATGACTCAGCCTCTCTAACTGTGCCCAGCCCCACCACAGAAGCAGACAATACAGGTACCCATCAGCATGTTGTTTTCTGTGATGTTTCCCTGTGGATCTGGACTAGCATTGTTGTCTCTCATTACAGAACAAGCTAAGAGTCATAGGCTGCCACGGGCACAGGGAAGACCTGAAACAACATGATATAGCACAGGGAGAGCGATCTCTTTAATGGCACAAAGAAATTAAATTAGCTTTCCCTTCCGTGCTCTGGCTTTGAAAGAACAGCGCACTAAGATGAATCTTGCCTGGCTTGAATGCAGAATTTGCATGTGTGTGTTCGTCCAGTGCATCTTCCAAAGTGTCTTATTGCTGCTTTTTTTTTTTTTCTTTTTCTTTTTTTTTTTTTCTGCCCACCAGAAAGAAACACCGCTCGCCAATGCTGCGTTTTGGGCTGCGAGGAAAGGGAACCTGGCTCTCCTCCAGCTGCTGCTCAACAGCGGGCGAGTAGACGTGGACTGCAAAGACAGCGTACGCGCACGGTGCCCCTACACCCACAGCACTGAGTTTGCATCACTTCCCACAGCCCGCTCCGCCCGGGGTCTGGCAGGGACATTTGGGAGTCTTATGGCACCCGGGGATGATTTAAAACCTTCTCTTGTCAGGAAGCAAGTTTGAAACTCAAGATGAAATAGCGTGATGATTTACATCAGTGGCAAGGGGTTAGGAATTTGCCAGCACTCAAAAATGTGTCTTACACAGTTATTTGTGGCGCTGACATTAAAAACACAGATCCTAGCACCTCGGGCTTCTCTTTGCAAGGAAATGTCAGTGTAGTAATAGATCACAGGGAAGAGTCAACTCAACTGAGCCCAAGCAGCAATGATTCTGTCAGCTAGCAGACCTCCTCATAATTAGTTTTCAAGAAAATAACCCTGGACCACGGTTTTCATTTTGACAATTTGGTGTGCAGCCGTTCCCACCCTGTGTGGCACGCAGCATCCTACACCCGGCGGTGCTGTCAGAAGGACTGCTGGCCTCCTAACTTCCTCCTCCCCCCTAGCCCATAGTATCTCCTGGACCTGGTACCAACATGAAGGCACAGTACAATTTCCAAGCAAAGAGGAGCCCAGACACGTGACAGAAAGATTTCATGGGGATTTCCTTACTGTAATTGGCAGGGGTTGAAATAAGTCCTGAGATTAGAAATGGGTTGAAAACACAGATAATGGGTATGTCTTGCTATTCTGCCTATAACATATGGAAAGATTGTACTGAGCTATGGCAAAGAGCAGGAAAATCCAAGGTTGAGAAGTTCCCAGGTTTCTTTGGTGCTGGGACTGACTGACTGAGTGTCATGCCTGTGTTGTACAGGATTAGTGCCACTTCCAGCCTGAAACGTGAACCTGCTGCAGCTTCTCTCACTTTGAATACCTTCAAAGTGGAAGAGATTTTCTAAGCCCATTGACTTTAACCTATCTTTTCATTTTCATTTCATTTTTGCCCTGCAGGCAAATTTTTGTCCCGCAGTACTTCCGGAGCTGATGCTATGAGTGTCTGACAGGGAGGGAAGGATGCTCAGATGAGGGCATAAAGCAGGACAGAGATCAATGTAAAGAAATAATGTCCACTACTACTCATTTTTCCTCAAAATAAGGCTAACCTTAATCAAGAATTTTTACAATACATTATAAAATATGCGGACTTGTTAATTATATTAGGCATACGCATTTTCTAGACTAAAATATTTTTGTACAATTGAGGCTGCACGCATCTGAATGCATCACACATTCCTTCTTTAGATTGAAGTGGTGTGTGTGAATGTTTTAGAGGATTAATTTCATCCTTATGCGTGTAGTTCTTTTATATTGTCCATACATCACATACATATAACCTGAATTTTATTTGCTTCACTGCAGCAGTGACCTTATGGGGTACTGAGGGAACCTGAACACATAGTTCTGGTATGGAAAGTTCTCTCATATAATGTGAAGAGTCACAGAGTGAGTTTGCTCTTATCATTTGGATAGGGAATCAGTATTAAATCACCTGGACCTTACTCACTGACTATGACTCACAATTAAGTGACTCAGCTAAGTCACTCAGCTCCTGTGTCTAAGGTTGCCTAAGGTTATTCTTCTGGAAATGATGCAAAGATCTTTGAGATTCTCTGAGAAAGTGCTGTGCATAAATCAAAAATATTGTTGTTATTTTCGTTGCACTTACTTTGGGATGATAAGGAGAAGTCATTGCACACATGTGTTGAATGGTCAGGCTTCAGCACTGCAGGCAAGTCTGTAATGCTTTTGCTTTAACACCTGCTAATTGTTTATTTCCAAAGTATTCTTGATGGTAAATTTTAAACCTGATAGCAGGTTTTCCAATGATCATAACTTTCTTTCAGCTTTCAGAAGAAGTGCTGTCTTCTCCAGACAGCTGAAGGTGTCTGTTGAAGGTACTGACTTGTTTTTCCTTACTCCCAGCTTGGCACAACAGCTCTGATGGTAGCATCTTACTATGGCCACATAGATTGTGTACGGGAATTGGTGTTGCAAGGAGCAGATATCAATCTGCAGAGAGAGGTAGGAGACGTTCTGCATTCCAAACAGGGATTGATTAAGTGACGGTTTATTAGAGATAATAAAAATGTTGTCTTCCGCTTTTTACCAACTGCTTATTTGTCACTTGCTGTGCAGTGCATATATAAACAGGTTCTGTTCTCTTGAAGATGTCAAGGAATAAGATGTTTGGAGTTTATAAAGGAAAATGAGGTGCCGGTGATACATTTATAAATAATTCATCAAATATTCCCAGCACACCTGGCTGGTGAGGGTCAGTTACATCTGAGATGTAACCCCCCCAAGGATTACACCATATATGTATCTGCAATTTTGCTTATTGGCACAGTAATTTACAACTCTCTGGATGGGGTAACTGATAAGGAGAAGTTCTTTACCTTTTGATTTGTAGAATCTGGTCATTAAAATAGAGTGGATGCCATTGCTAGCCCAGGGATTACTTTGAGTCTGTATGCTTTAGAGATTCTGCTTCTTAGTCTAACCCAGCTCATCTCTTAAGAATCACACAGCTTAATCACCCCCACCCTTCCCTGCATCTCTGCTTTGCATTAGAGGCATCTCTCACACCATGACATGCTTGCTTGTGGAAGGGATGTCAGTGGCTGGTTTGGGGAGAGTGCCTTCCCCTCACACTCCATGCGAGTGGCTGTAAGGAGCACCTGCAGCCGCTCTGGTCTGTGCACAAAGAGAGCACAATTGCTCTGGGACAGCAACAGTTGGACTGGTCCCAAGAGAAGAGCAGTGTAAGGAGGGCATGCAGGAGCACGGGATGGCAGCAGGCAGTGCAGGACAGCAGTATGCTCATTGCTTTAACGACACAAGCCAATGTTGCTCACTTTCCTTGGTTACCTGGAACTAGAGCATTAATCTCATGCTGACATCGGCAAGTTACTGAGTCAGTGAATGCCATATTTGATGATATAAGTGTCTTTGCACTTACTGGCCTAAACTTGCTCTAACCATGATTGTCAGTGTCTTTCACTGGGGTCTTGTTGCAACAAAACATGTATTTAACATGTCCCTTCCCTTAGGTAAACATTGCTTTAAAAGCAGTAACAAAAGGAAAAGCTCAGAACAGTTTTATGAAGCTGCTCTTGAGCATCGCTCGGGACATACTGATTAAGCAAGTCAACAAAAACAGAAACACTGAAATCCTCCAAAACCACTCTGTTGCAGAGAAGATGCAAACCAGACAGATTTTAAGCCCTAAAGACCACCAGCACTGTTCTGAAACTAAATCCACATACTCAAACCAGTGACTGCTCTTGTAGTCTGAAGTTGTGAAAGGTGCAAGTGAGGGCCCCATAAATCTGTCTGGGAGAGGGGGCTCTGCAATGGTCTCAAGGGACCATGTGCTGTAAGGACTTTGGGCACTGGAGTGAATTTCACACGTAGCTCCCCTTTCCTGCACCTTCTGCATGGGATGAGAGAGCCCCAAGTCAGGAAAGCCTGCCTGTCTTTCCCTCTTTCCCTCTTTCCCTCTTTCCCTCTTTCCCTCTTTCCCTCTTTCTCTCCTTCTTTCCTTCTCTTCTCTCCTTCTCTCCTTCCTCCCTTCTCTCTCTTTCTCCCTCTCTCTTTCTCACTCATTTTCTTTCTCCCTTTCTCCCTTCCTTCCTTTCCTCTTTCCTTCTGCTGACCCATTAAAATCTTACATCTTCCTTTTTCGGTCCAGATTTACTCATATGTTAATGACACTATTTTATACAGGTAGAATAAAATATGAGGTTGCAGTTCTTGAGTGAATTTAAGGGCAAGCAGGAGTTGTGGGGCGGGTAATAGGCTGGATGGGGAGCTACTGCTGCAAGAGATGAGGATGACTTGCGCTAACAGCAATCACATTTTGTCAGTGGAGAGTCAAGGCGGGTGGAGCTCTGCTCTACCAAGTAACCAACTCCCTGGAATTTCCACACCCTGATCCAAATCCATGTTTCTCTCGGGTTGTAGCAGCAGGTGGAATAGGGGTTGGTTTCAAATTGGCTGTTCCTCTGTTGTGCAGGACTGTTCTTTTCTCACCACAAGCTTTGCTTTCCTGTCTGGTGACTGGGTAGAAATGGGTGAATCCTAAGTCTGTATTAGAAACCCTGTGCAGAAGCCCCTTGTGAAATTTGGGATTGACTCAAAAGTGTGATGTTAGACAGATTTCTCAGTGCAATGAGAAGACAACTGACCTAAGATACCTGGTATACTCTGGAGACCTCAAAATCATTGTGTCTTTTCAGCTGGTATTCAAGTGATTGTGCTCAGTACTTTTCAATTTGAAGTGTGTTATGTGTTTGGGGTTTTTTTAATCCCTTTTTTTTCCTTACAGTCAGGTGCGACTCCTCTGTTCTTTGCTGCACAGCAAGGCCACAATGATGTAGTGAAGTTTCTCTTTGAATTTGGAGCCTCCACTGAATTTAAGAATAAAGTAAGATGATGGATCTATTTTTGCATGCTGATGCATTCTGACAACCAAGGTTGGTTTTTCATATTCACATGAAACATGCCATGGCAGCAGGAAGATGATAAAAGGATTTCCTCACTTGAATGTTTTCTGAGTAATACAACATATTATGAAAATATTAGCTTGGGACTAGCTTGATAGTGATATCAGTCTTTCCTCTTAAGCCATCCTCCAATACAAGAACTAATGGTCTTTTTGTACATGTTAGGTAGGATCCCATGTTAGGTATGTCCTTCACTTGCATAAACTGAAGTTTTATCTACATTGGGAAGTCTCTGCATACCACGATAGGATAGATAAGAGTATAATGACTGCAGTCCTCCCTAAATTCCCATTTACTCCATCTGAAATGGAGTCACCAATCAGAGCTTCTATCTTTTTGTTCAGGCGGGTCCTTTTTCAAAATCTTAGAATAGCCAAAAACACAGATGGCAGATCCTGGGTCTGGTTCGAGCTTTGAGACTGGGCTTTGGTAACCTACTGAACTTCTAGATTGAGTATGGGTGGGAAACCACCTTTAACTTTATGCAGCAGTGTGTACCTGAGCAGAAGGCACCACTGAGAACAAACTGCATTGACAGTACGTATCTTCCATTGGCCACCTACTGTGTTTTTGTGTCTGTTCCATTTCCTGATTTAATAATATGGTTTTTGTAGCTTGGAATTACTCCACCAAACCATCATTTTGTTAGCAGGCAGCTAAGATAACAGGCTTCTCCACACATACCCCCCCAAACCCGAGAAGCAATATAGTTGACAAAATATGCCTTTTCAGGTGAGAGAGAGGCGTTTTCTGATTAAGGCACACAGCTGGGAGCAGCATTGGAAAAGATATGGCTGATCCTGCCTGTTTTTAAAGGGCACTGGAAAATTAATCAATTTACAAAGAACTTTATATTAGAAGTGAAAATGTGGAACTGAAATAAGAAAACAAATTGAATGTATCCTAGGAAACAGAGACTTTCAAGCAAGGAAATACAAAGCCCAACATCTTCTTTTTCGTGTACCTCTCTGTAAATTGTAATTACTACATTTGTTACTCATATATGTGTGTACATTTGTTGCTCATACATGTGAGCGATGGAGAACTATCTTAATATAGGCATTCAACTCTTGTCACACCTTGTATCATTAGAGTTGATATTCTATACAGCAGACAAAACAAATAAAGTAACTAGCAACAATTGCTGCTGTTGTAAAGAAAACAAATAGTATTATTGAAGGTTATTATAGATATATTATAAAAATACATATTACTCAATAATATTATTCTGCATTGACTGACATCCCTAGAAGCATGCATCATAAATTGAAACACGTTCTCTTTTCTTCCTCTGAGACATGTTTATGCATGTGGGTTCTTAAAAGGATTTGCATGTTTTGTGAGCAATGCTGCAGGTCAAATGGTGTGTCAGAGACTATTTTTCAGCAGGTAGTGATGGCAAAAGATCAGTTCCCCTGCCGTGCCACGTTATTTCAGAGATCCCAAACCAGCGTGTCATTGTAAGCTACTTTCAGATAATGATGATGAGGGTGCAGGAGGAGGTAGGTGAATAGACAGGGAAGTCTACACTAGATTGCCTGGTCTTACTGGGTGCTGCTGTTCCCAGTGCTCCCATGGGAGACTGGCAGCTACTGGGTGTACCACCAGTACAGGGAAGACAGACTGGGGAGGGGGTTGAGAAAACTGGTTTCAGAGGAAGAACCGCAGAGGTAGCTGAGAGAACCGGCTCCTACCTGAGCTGGAAGGGTTTGCAGGGAGGGATTCATAGGAGCTACATGGTGTCAGGAAAACAGGATATGAGCAAGGAATCAACCCAAGGCAGCGTGCTGTCTGTCGGCTGCACCTCCGGCTGCCCGCCCGCCCTGGCCCTTGAAGGACCTCTGTGGTTGCTCACGAGTCCCTGCCCCGGCTTGCTGCCCTCCTCAGAGTTTCCAAGAGACTTGCCAGTACCAAAGGTGCTGCCTCAGCTTTTTTACTCACCTCAGCTGAAGCTAAAAAGGAAAGAGGGAATCACATGGCTGAAGGGAATTTTAAAACTCATGTTCATTTACTTCTTTTTGTTGTTGTTCCTTTTTTTGGTTTTCTCATAACTCCCCTGCCTTCCCAATGGCCTGTAGAACACTGGGATCTCCAGCTGCAGCGTGCTGGAGAAAAGGCTCGCGAAAAGGGAAGAAAGTGTAAGAGAAAGCAAGACAGAAGCTCAATAGTGATTGGAGGGGGCTGAGTTTTTCTCATCTTAAGAAACCATGGACCTTCACACTGTTTGACAATTCCTCAGTTGAGTGCAATCTTACTGCATGGCCTTTTCAGTGAAAAAGATTTCTGGTCCCAACTTTGCTTTTCTTACAGCAAGACCTGTCTCTATCAGAGCGTTCAAATGAATCTCAGGCTCTTCTTTTGAATGTATTCAACTTCATAGGAGAAGCAGTAGAGCAGGTCTTAGAGCCCAGCTGTCTTCCAATCTTCCAAATCAGGGTCCAAATCTTTAGGACAGGGAGTTGTTATCCATATCTCTCTGGCCAAGTAAATATTTGATTCAGGGTCAGCAGCTGGAATTGGGGATGCCCAAATGTTTTCTTTCTGATCCCTAGACTCTGATGAGGGTGATCTAGGAAACTCGGTTGCTCTAGTCTGAAAGATGTATATCATGTATTTTGGAAATGTGTTAGTCATTCCAAAAACATATCTGTCTCAACCTGTTCACTGGATTCAACCAAACACTTGGTCAGGATCCCCATTTCAAGATACTTGGAGATAACCTGCCAGAAGTGGCTCCCTTCTTAAGCCTCAAGCTATGACATCTCCCGAGGTGGGATCCCACAATTGCACTCCAAGCACTGAGTGTCAGCTCTACTGTGCTAACTGCAGTTAGCTTTGCAGGCCTGCTTTTATTTGGGACCCATCATTTGGTTCCCTTCAGAAATTATGTTAATAACCAGACAATCTTCTTAAAATAACTGGAGTTTGTTAAGAACACAAGAATTTTAGAAAAATAAAAGCAACAAAAAAACCCCAAAACCAGACATGAAGCAATAAACAAACTATTCCCATATACAGCTGAGTGTGTCTATTTAGCCACCATACGGGGAACCTCAATATTTTTAAGCTTCCTAAAACTCGTCCTTCCCTGCCTCTCCACAGAGGACCTCCAGTCTGGATAGCACAGTTTCTCTTCTTAACTCACTAACCTTTCTCTCTCTGTTTCCTTCAGGGAAAGAGTCTTTCAAAATGTTTCTGGTATTTGTTTGTAGCCCTTTGATCTGGTAACTCAGTAATCAAGCAAAATGGCTTTCAGCTGGTTGGAGACAGGAAATAGGTTTCATGGAGCTAATAGCTTTTGCCATTGTCTTTTAAGTGTGTGTAAGGTGTTTTTTAATCCAGGAACCATTGTGGTTGCTTTTGTGTTTTGTTCCAGCAGTTCCTATTAAATTAGGGTAGTTTAATTTGACAGGAAAGTCTAATGAGTCATTATGGCTATAGAGTAACTTAATTCCACAGAACTTGATTACGCACTATATTTGCTCAAATGATCCAGAATTAATATGCAATTCCTAGGCTGTCACATAACAGCTTCACATCTGTGACTTTGCTGACACTCAAACCTTGTTTGCTTTTCAGTGTTGTAGGGAGAAAAGGTGAATATGAGCATGTGAGAGCAGCTATAGACAGTCTCTGTGGGTTGGTTCAGTTCATGTCAGAGCTTGAGTTTTCATGAGGTTATTGTAGGCATGGAATAGCACTACAGATTAATAAATTTGATTGGCACTTCCCATTGTAAAAGATCCATTTGGCTATTCGAGCTGTAACTTCTCTTGTGGATATCTGCCTGTGGAAAATCTCAGACAAAACTTTGGAGCTGTTTCAGAGGACAAGGCTGAGGGAAAACACAATCTTTTGCCCATGTTAATAACATCTCTAGAAGCCATTTATCCGAAATACTTTAGATAGCTTATCTTGTGGAGGAGGGACTTGAGACTGGGAGAAAGCAGAGGAGAGAGAAGACCTCTGGTGCAAATGACTTGGGGTATTTGTCATCCTTGCACAATGGCATGGTGCCATCCCAGGCAGAAGATAAAAACTTCCTCTCTGTATCAGTGTTAGAAATAATAGTAATTTTTGAGCGGGGCATGGTGCATTTACTAAGATGGCAAGACCCGTGTTTGCTGTCTTAGTTGTTTCAGCTGGCTTGGAGTCAATTGCCAGTGACACTGTGGAGTTTCCCTTCTGAGAGGGCTCCCAGGGGAGCATTTCTACATGCAGGGTTTGATGCATGTGCCTACGTCTCCCTTTAGTGGCGATGTGCAGTAACTATAACTGCCTGGGATTGCTTCTATCTGCAGGGATCACTTCTTCAGCAGAAGTAATGGGGCTTTCACTGATGGTCTTGGGTTTGGTCTGATGCACACTTCCACAGTTAGCTAGCCTGGTTCAAAATGCATCCTCCCTGCTCTTTTTCAGGCCAACAATCAACAGGTGAGAGGCAGGGCATCAACAGGGCATGAGGTTCTGGCCAAAGAAGAGTAGATGATCCTTTTTGGAGCTGGCTTTGGAGCAGGGGGAAGGTGTGCTGTCCTTCAATAAGTGAAAGAGCTTGGCAAGGGTGGGAGATTTGGCTGTAAAGAGAAGAGATATGGAGGAGCTTGGAGTTATAAAGGGAACAAAGCTTCTAGTGGGAAGGCAGAAGATGGGGAACAAATAGCAGAATTTTCTTGGTTCCTGGCATGCGCTAAAAAAGCCACAGGAGAAAAATGTTTATAGTGACAGAGCCAAGTCTAAAGATTTATGGGGCAAGACTTAGTACTAAAATTATGAAAGATTCAGTAGCTAGTCTCTACAGAGCTGCTGTGAGCCAAATGCCGAAGAGCATTAAAATTTGCTTATGTTTTATGGTGATGTTCAGTCCTGCACCTTCCCTCTCACCTGACTGTACCCATTCTTTGTTTTTTCACAGGATGGAGGTACTGCTCTTCTGGCTGCTTGTCAGTATGGACATGCAAAAGTAGTGGACACTCTGCTGAAGCACGGCGCCAACATTCACGATCAACTTTATGTGAGTTATTTGACACAGATAATAATGACAACACTGGTGGTGGAACAAATGTGCTGTTGGTTGGACAACAGCGGATACTTTGGCTCCAGCATGCAGAGGCATTTGCCAAATGTTGTGGTTTTATAGTACTCTGCTCTTCTAAGATGTGAATTTTGTTAACTGTCTGCTTTTCATAACCACGGGAGAAGTAGCACAAAATCAGAAAAGATGATTTGGCTGCCTTTTGGTTCGTTATCTGTATGAAGGATATGTACCAAATCTGGATAAGATTTCTGCTGTCCATCACCTTTGAAGAAAAGACACTGTCATGTTCTACCATGATTTGCACTGCAGACAGATGAGTGAGCAGCTACAAAGCCACTCATGTACTTGAGAATTAGTTTATCGGGTTTCTGCCAGAAAGAGTAGTAAAAGTTGTGTTTTCTTTAAAATCTTTTTTTAAAATGTCAGTTAAAATGATGTCATTTGGTATTTGTGCATCTCTACCTTGTCAGTGCTGTGGGCAAAGAATGGTTAAAATGGCTGAACTGAGATTGTTTAGTTGACTTTTCAGAAAGCTGGACTGAGCCAGTGAAGCACTGGATTTAATTTACTTCAACGGAGACACAAATAAGTTGAGCTTTTCAGCATTCAGCAGAAATGAGTGGCAGATTTTCTCTCCACTTCGCATCACTCTTTCCTACCCCGGGGCACTCGAGACTGACAAAAAGGAAGTTGTTCCCCAGGGATATTTGACTTTTTTTAAGCCTTTTCCATGGGGTTTGGATCTGCAGGGTGCTATCACGCTCAGCTCCCATGAGCATGGGTGGGAACCGAGGGCTGGTGACCACCAGGGTGCTAGGAGCTGTGTGCTGGTGGCACAGGGGGTCCCCACCTCTGTGTTGCCCTCACCCTGTGTTCATAAAGAAGGGTGTCCCACCCTCGGTACTGCACAAATAGCAACTGCCTTTCTCATCTGAGGGCAGTGAGTCATACCTCTGGGTGGTAATCCCAGGGGTTACCACTCGGTTTAAAAATAGCCGCGCTGCCGCACCTGCAGACGCATACCTAGAAATGAAGGCTGTAAAATAATTTCCTTGTTGTCTCTCCTGGAAATGAGCAGTATTTGCAATTGGATTTAGAAATGTATTTTTATTGCTCGCAGCTATTGGGCGAAACCAGTCAGAAACAAGTGCTTAATAAAGTAAGAATGCAATCTCTTGAAAAAAAGCATTAAACTGGCTCCTTTTGTGGGAGGTGGCCAAGCTGTGTTTGCAAAGTGGTAAGTGGCTGGCAGTTTCACTGGTTGGCAGCCAGATGAGAGGGATTTTGAGCCTGCATTTAGATAGTCCTCCCAAAACCACCAAGAGATGTTGTAATCTTAAATTGGCTGCCATGAGGGATAGAGGAGAAGACGAGAGAACACCCTGACTAAAGAGTATTTCTTGCAGAAATCGTTTGTAGCCCTTAAAACAGTTTTCTCATTGCAGCAATTCAAATCAAGTACAAAAAACTAAGAGGTTTTTTTTTTAATGGTTGGATGATAGGGAAGAGTATTTCTTGCAGAAATACTTTGTAGCCCTTAAAACAGTTTTCTCATTGCAGCAATTCAAATCAAGTACAAAAAACTAATAGTGGGGGTTTTTTTAATGGTTGGATGATAGGGAAACCAAGATTCTCCGTCTTGATTGATGTTACAATAAAGAGCTCTTTTACTATTACACAACCTTGTTTGCTTTCTAAATGGAAGTGTTCTCACTATACCTGTCTCTGGAGGAAGCCTGCAAAGGACCTGGTACCATCATCCCGTTCCATGTGCTCGCATAGCAACCAGAGCAAACAGCCCATCAGAGGGCCCAGGGGTATGCATTTGTAGCGCCAGCAGACACCTCTCTTGTTTACCAGGACATTAGTCTTGAAATCAAGGTCAAACATTTTCGATTCAGTCCCTGGGGCGCTATATTCAGCTCATGCTCCACTGGGCCCGTGCTGAGTTTTGCACGAAGAGGAGCAGCTAAGCAGTATCTCTTTGCAGACAACAGCATTCTGTCCCAATGTAGTGATATGCCAGCAAGGTCAACAACAGGCTTCCACTAAAATGCCCTGTATTTTGTGATAAGCATATGCCTAAATTGGGTAGATGTGTATTTGTGCATCTGAGATGCAGTGAGGGGATTCATTCGTGTCTCCATTTAAACTAAAAGAATTTTACCTCCTGGGAAAACTTGCCCTGGCACGTTCTGTGCTGAGCGCTGGGGATATAGGATGGGTAAACACCTTTCCCACCCTCATTGTAGATTTCTGCTTCCAGTTGGTTGGATGGATTCTAATGCAGTTTGAAAATTTTTCATAAAAAAAAAAAAAAAAATCCATTTAAACTAAAAGAATTTTACCTCCTGGGAAAACTTGCCCTGGCACGTTCTGTGCTGAGCGCTGGGGATATAGGATGGGTAAACACCTTTCCCACCCTCATTGTAGATTTCTGCTTCCAGTTGGTTGGATGGATTCTAATGCAGTTTGAAAATTTTTCATCAAAAAAAAAAAAAAAAAGAAATATGACTTGTAACTTTTTTATCTAAGGAAAAGCTTCTGTAAAGCCAAACGCTGAAGAACATCTGCACAGGAGACACATGTTGAGGAAAAAATAATAATCCCATATTTGTTAATTTCTTTCATAAGCTTTTTGCAGGAAAATGCTGGTTTCTGACAGGGCTTTGAGATAGTCTGTCTTGCATGTGCTACTTCACGTGATTATATTACAGGTCGAGTCTTTTCTGCAAGAGCAGTGCCACGGCAGTTTCTGGGGTGGCACAGTGTTATGGCACAGTACTTACTCCTTCAGCCTAAAGGGCAGATTTCAGTGCTGGAGCCTCCAGGTCTGCAACGTACTTGGGACACATTTTCATTATGTGTGTCTATGTATGAACATGTAAAAGCTAAATGAACCTAAATAAATATATTTTGCTATATAGGAATGAATTCCTTGTTATGTGGTTCAATGTTTCGATGAACTAGACTCTTACAATTCCAGACCTGGGATTTAATGCTCAGTTTGGTATATGATGGGAGCCAGTAGTCATGCATGCTGAATGAAAAGTGTTAGCATACTTTGTCATGAACTAGACTTTGGATTTCGTTAATTATTTCTTGAGCTTGGCTACATAGATGCTCTTACGCCGCATAATGGCTTAGGAAAAGCTTGATTCAGTTTGGTTTGGTTTTATATGGCAAAAAAAGTGGCATAATTTCAACACGGTGTATTTGTTATTAGGATGGAGCTTCTGCAATTTTCCTGGCGGCACAAGGAGGGTATCTGGATGTCATCCGACTGCTGCTTTCTTCAGGAGCAAAAGTGAACCAGCCACGGCAGGTGAGCTCAACACTTCAAGGAGGAGCTGGGGTCTAATTACTAGATTTTACAGTTACGGAAAATTAACACTGGGTTATAGAGACTTCCTAGGTGCTAAGCTGACTGGGGAATACGTAAGCATACGTGATGCACGCAGACATATATCAAAGCTCTCTTGGTTTTCTAAAAAGGATTTCTTTATTGTATAGCTGTTTCCTGGCTCTCAGATCAGTGGTTAAACAGCACATTTAGCTTCTGTTTGAGTACCAGATGTGGGAGTTGCAAAGCTAGCTTTACTCCTGATGCTTAGAAATGTCTGTTTAGAGACATTAGGGCTTCCTAGGAATCTTTGCCTGCTTTGAGAGAGCCTCCCCTGTGGTCTGCTGACACCCTGCAGGCAAGGTAGCTGTCCTGCCTCCTCACTGCACGTTTTAAATTGATGGGCTGAGGTCCTGTCCCTGCAATCGGTCATGTACGGCTGCCAGGTGGCTGCAATCACTGACTGCAGCAAGTTAAAAAAAGTCAGCAGGCATGTGAAGACTCTAGTGACAGTGGACAACGTGGCATGTGACGAGCTTTGCCAGGTATTTTGTGTATTTCCTTTCATCTACACCAAAAAGCCTGCCAAATCATAGCCTGGCAGCAGAGATCGATCTATATGACACCTGCTGCATCTGTAGGTCTGTGTAGCCTCCCTGCTACTCCTGTAGTGTAATGAAGTTGGATTAGCATTTTATGTGCTGAAACTAAAGCAATTTTCCTGCTGCCTCTCCCCTCAACTCTCCAGCACCAGAGCTGTGCTGGCAGCTGCTCCCTGGACTGGTGCTTTAGTTGCTCCTAGGCTACCTCCACACTGTCTCCCAAGATCAAGATTAAGAAATGTTGTTAAAAGCTGTTAATTAACGCAGCCTGAAAGATGAGTGTAGAAGAACAGACCAAGGCCTTTTGAGTGGGCCAAAATAACGGTGAGGAGCATTCAATTTAGCTCCACCATGCTGCCATAAAACCTGCATTCTGCTAACCATAATTACAATGCCCCAGCTAATTCTTTCTGACAGTATTTTTTTAGCTCTCTAATCCAATTTCTACAACACAATGTTTCGTGACGCATTTTTAAATCTTGGTTGAGGCAAAGGCTTGACTGTGTGAATGTTCTTCCTGGCTCTGTCTCATCCCCGGCAGGATGGGCTTTGCTTCAGGGTACCTCCTTATGCCTGGATAAATCCGTGGCATTTGTGTTTGGGCCCACTGTAATCTGAAACATTTCCTTAACAAATGGAACATTTTTACTGTTTAATTAGTAAAGTAATGGTTGGATGGACTTCAGTCTCTTTCTTACTAACAAACAAATTTGTACTTGGTTCAAAGGTGGCACGGTGGTCATGAGGAATGTAGCTCTAGATGGGGCAGTTTCGATGTCAGATGACTTTTACTGTCAGTTACAAACTACGCTGCGCTCACTGCTGCAGGAAACTTTTCCAAGCAATGTAACATCAGATACAGGGCTGCAGAGTGCCAGGTGTGAGTTCATGCTTCTTCCTCATGGTGTCCAGGTTCTCCCCCCTACCTTATGAGTTCCTGGGGCTTGATTCACGTGCCTGAGTGTGTGCATCTGCCTTGTATGTCTCCTCTGGCTGTTGCAGTGGGTACCAGTTCCCCTTTGGTCTTGTGCCCCATCTCGCTGTCCCATAGGGATGCTCCTGACACCATAAAGCATCTCTGATGGCTCTGGCCACCCGTATGCAGGCCCTCCAGCTCAGCTCTCACAAGACCAAATAGTGAAGATTCCTGGCGAGTTTCTTCCTTGGCAATGACATTTATCTTGGATTTTAGCCGCCTTCTGTTCTTTCTGATATTGCAGAGCTGGGCAGGAATTCTTTTGTCATCTTTTTGTCTAGACAGAGCTGGGGGCAGCGTCTGAAGCCTGATGTGGGAGATGTTTCTTTGCTTCTCCAAGTCAAAAACAAAGCAAGAAGATAATTTGCCAATGAATTTTACACTCCTTTTTGGCAGCCTGTGTCCCAGCAGGCTTAAGCCTGACTGCTTAAGCAGATTCAAAATACTCTGAGAAGTAATGATTTTTCTTAACACATATATGTAAGCCAGTAAACCAATATAGATTATAAGCTTTAGACATGCTAGCAATTTGTTACTAGCAAGAATTCAGCTGGTGTAGTGGTGTGAGTGGACTGATGGGCAGAACAGTGGAAGAGATGATGCTGAGTAGCCTGAGAGTAAGGGCTCTCTGTCCCTGGAAGTCCTTACTGGGAATTCAAGGGATATTTCACCTCCCACTCTAATCTGACATTTTCTAAAACTCCAAGCCACAAGCAAATGCTGAGATTTGAAGTTGCAAAGCAAAGTCATTAGTTAATGGGTAAGAGAAAGAGCATCAGAAATTTCAGTCAGAATATGTATGGAACTGCTGGCTGCTGGATAAAACAAGATACAGTCTGTATATACTTGTAATCAAATATACGCTATATATTTGTAATCAAATACAGAAATAAATACAGCTTAAACACATGGTGTGTTTGGCATTGCAGTCTGCTGGGTGGGCAGACGGACAAGGAAAGGAAAGTAGTTTTTGAACTGCATCCTTCCCTTTTCTCGCTTTCATCCTGACTCATCTCCAAACCTTAATATCTGTTTACATGGGAATTCTTATGTGGCCCATTGGTACAATGTAATAGCTCTTTTGCACCATACACCAACATGAAAATGGACAGAAATCTTATCTACTCTATATAAATATTATATGCATTTGCATAAACCTGCATGTTAGATGCTCTTTGCTTAAGAGAGAGAAGCTGACAATAGTCAATGTGAGCCCACCATCAGCTTCATCACCTTTCTTCTCTTCAGGCTAAGTGCTCCAAGACAGTCAGTCTTTCTCACAATGTATTTTTGCCTCTACCCTATAACTGAACTACTGAGTCTAACAGCAATTCTATTAAGGACAGTTTACGGTAACAGGGATGTTACCTATCACTTGTATTTCTTTCTGCTCCTTTGCCTGAAAATGCCTGAAAATAAAAGTTGTTCTTACAAACTTCACCGTAAGAAAGCTGCTGTGTTCCCTGTGCTGTGATCATGCTTGCATTTCTTGTGTAAATAGAAGTGTGGATTTGCATAGCACTGGTTCTTCATGCAGATTAAATTGTCTATGCTGCTCTTGGATAGTTTCCAAGTTTTATAGACTTTTTCAGTGTCTCTTGCTATTTTCTAGAGCCCTCTGGGGGGGGGAGATTAGAGAAAAAAAGAGGAAGTGTCAGTTTACTGGTAGGGAAAATACTAGAAATTGGAGAGGGACAGTTTTGGCCATCACACTAACATCACACACACTGTATACAAGAGAGCCTTTGTTATTTTTGAATTACAAAGAACACTCATTGTATTAACAGGATATATACTAGAATGAGGTCAGTCACAAATGTCAATGTGTTAATTTATAGAGAAATGGTACAAGGGTGGGTAAAGATCTTGTTCCTCACCATTTGAGAAGACTGAATATCTCAGGATGTGCATTTGCTCTTTCTCAGCATCAGAAAAAAAGGGAAGCCCAGAATATTATATCAAAGGAATAAACTTTTCTGTTTCTTCCAAAGGATTAAGTCACTAGCCCATAGAAAGCAGAAAACTGGTTCAACAATAGTTTTTTTGGATCGCATGAGCAAGTCATATGAATCTCCAGTTGGCACTGAGGAGAGAGATTGCTTCTTTGATCAAGGTGGAGGTATCTAATTTAAAGTAAAAAGTTGCTTTCTGAAACTTCTCATTAAGGCTCTTTTAGAAGCCCTGGTATATTTTGTCTGCCTGCCAAGTCTTCAGGCTGCTGAGGGTGGCGAGGGGAACTGGCAAAAGCCCCGAAGGCAGAAGCAGACACCCTGCTATGTAAGGGCTCACTTTTATGTTGAAGTCCATACAGGCAAAGCCTTTTGTGAAAGGTCCACATAACTGCTGGAGACCTCCTGTTGTCTGGAGAATCAGGCCATTTAGAAGTAAAAGAAGAAAAAGACACAAAACTAAATTCTAATTGGGGTGACAAATACTTCTGGTGCTTCAATTCACCTTTGTCTTTGGGATGGAAATCCATCACAAAGTTTAGATTATACTAAACAAGCATTATTTTTTTCCGGAGGTTTTCTGCTCAAATAATGATTGGGTAGGAGATTTTTTTCCAAATCACATTTTTTCATGCTGGATTCCTTGATGATTGCCTTGTTTTCTAGCTGAGTTCTTGAAGATAAAACTTATGATGTACTTCCCATCACTGTAAGGCAGTTTTTACCAGATTCCCTGAGGGTGGATAATGTAACTTATCATTGAAGGTTGGTGATCATCTTGCATTGCTCCATAGCTTCTCTAACCACCTTCCAGTCCACACGTACAGAGGCCCAGCTGCAGAATCAGTCCCCGCGTGCTGAGATTTACCTGTACCTTCTGTCACATCTAGCCACCTGGAGCTCAAAGCACACAGGATACCTTTGGCCTTTACATTTCAAACTTCCCTATGTATTTTAGGCACGACTGCTAAGCCGAAGAGGGCTTTAACTGTTTGCACAGCAAAGCACATTTCAGGCCAATTATGCAACAGAAAGCAGCTAAGGACGGGTGGCCCTACTCCATAACTGGAATGATTCTGACTTGACTTGATACGTCGACCTACCAAGTGCTTTTGAAAGTGACTTCGCGTGTGTCTATCTACGATGCAGAATTTAATTGAGGAATCGAAGCATGTCCATTCCAGTAAGCAGACTCGGGTGGTAAAACATCCTCGAAGTGAAACCTTTAGCAGTCTTATTTTGCTTGCAGGATGGGACGGCTCCCTTGTGGATTGCATCGCAGATGGGTCACAGTGAAGTGGTGCGAGTCATGCTGCTGCGGGGAGCTGAGCGAGACGCCGCGCGCGACGTGAGTAGCACTTCTTCCTGCACTCTGCCTGCAGCTCAGCACCTCCGAGCTTCTTTTGAGGCTGCCTGAATGGAGGCCCTTTGTCCCCAGAGTCTGTCTTGTTTGCCAGCTTGTAAAGTCCCACTGTAGGTTCCCTTTTTCCTGTTGTGTCTGGGACAGTTTCCTAGAGGGACCTTCTGGAACAGGTGAATGGAAATCACAGAATCACAGAATCTTCATGGTTGGAAGGGACCTTTGAGATCATCGAGTCCAACCAAAAAAAAAAAAAAACCAAAACAAAAAAAGCCCCCCACACATAACACCAAAACAAAAAACCCAACATCCCGTCACCACAACAATCACCACACCCAACAATCTCAGGCACTAGAGCATGCCCTGAAGTGCCACATCTACACATTTAAATACCTCCAGGGATGGTGACTCCACCACCTCCCTGGGCAGGCTGTTCCAGTGCCTGACCACTCTCTCGGTAAAGTAATTCTTCCTCATATCTAATCTAAACCTCCCCTGCCACAACTTCATAACCATTCCCTCTGGTGCTGTCATTATTCACTCGGGAGAAGAGGCCAACACCCACCTCTCTCCCACCTAATTTCAGGTAGTTGTAGACGGCAATGACGTCCCCCCTCAGCCTCCTCTTCTCCAGACTAAACATGCCCAGTTCCCTCAGCTTCTCCTCTTATGACTTGTTCTCTAGACCCCTCACCAGCTTGGTGGCTCTCCTCTGGACACGCTCCAGCACAATGTCCATATAGATAAGAGACAAAGATGGTACATGGTGTCATGGGTTCATTTCACCCTGAAGTTTTCACCTGCCAGGGGAACAATTCTCCAGCTGCCCTAAAACCAGTAGCATATGTGGAGGCGCCTCCTCAAAGACGATGAGCAGAGGAGACCCTCCTCTCAGAGGTGTGGGGGAGAGCTGGCCGAGTGGAATGCAGGTAAAGCATTGGTGACAACTGAACTGACCTTCTTCTCTCTTTTCAAGGACGGTACGACTGCTTTACTGAAGGCTGCCATTAAGGGGTACAACAATGTGATAGAAGAGCTGCTGAAATTCTCTCCCACGCTTGGCCTGCTGAAGGTCAGTAGCGAAACACACAGATTTTTAGGCAGAGACTTAAGAAGGCAAAGGGTCTGATGAAAGACCTGATGTTTATCATCATGACAGTGGAAGACAATAAGGAGTTTGAGCCTAAAAAAAGTAGAGAAAAATGAAATGATCTTGTTTAGCCTTTAACACTACACACAAATGAATCTTTTCAAATGAAATTGTGAATTTTATTTTTGGAAGGAGAAGCCCATTTTGTCGTAGATAGAATTCTCCTGCTTTTTGTTGTCTGATTTTATTTCTACTGTAAATGGATTTCTCTTGATGGTGCATTTTTCAGCATTAAACCCTGCCCTCAGCAAAATATTATCCTAAGAGATATTGTGACCAGATTCTCTACTTGATTTTGTTTTCAAATTCAAAAAGGCTTGAAAAATAACAGATATTTGGAAACTACTTTTTAATAGCTGATCTAATTTTATGTGCCTATAAATCAAATACTTAGATAGCATCTGTGCATGCAACTAATTGGCAATTTTGATGTACTTGAAAATCTGAGTCATGTTAACTGTGTTGTTAATTACAAGTACAAAATAGCTTCCACACTTATTTGAACTGTCAGTTTGCAGCCACAAACAAAAGGCCAGCCATGGAAAAAGAAAATCACCATTCAGCTGTTTGACATTGAGACTATTAATCATCGGAGAAAGAAGATAAAATGCACAGATGGTTTCCATTACTGCTTGTGCTTCTGTTTCACTTGCTAATGGCTGATTTTGCCAGGCAGAAGCAAGTGCTGTGTTCATTTCACCTCTAATCTATTGACGAGGGTAATTTTTGAAAGGAAATATTGCTGTGGTAAAGTCCACTTGACTCTCATTTTTATTAAAGCATTTAAAATCACCTCCTTCATAGCTCACTAGCCTTTGATTCCGTGTTATTTCTTGTTTGTAGGCTTATTCTTTGCAAATATTTGTGCTTCACCACCTTTTGATTTCTTCCCATGCGTGGTACAAACATCTCCATTGGTATTTTCTAGAACGGGACCTCTGCTCTCCACGCGGCTGTCCTGAGTGGCAACGTGAGGACAGTGGCGCTGCTCCTTGAAGCAGGAGCAGACCCTTGCCTGAGGAACAAGGTAGGCCATCCTGGGCGAGGAGGGGTTGTGTGCCACATGGGTGGTGGCAGTCCGTGTTTGTCTATTGGTCCATGGTTGCCTCTTGATCTCTCCTGAAGCACCACAATTGGGTCCATTCGTTTCTGCATACAAGCATCTGTAAGGGTGCTAGGCAGTGCTGCTGGTGGTTGTGAAGTTAGGTCAATCTGAGAATAACCAACCATGTACTCAAGTAAGCACCACAGGTTAAACTGTTAACTCTAGCTAGTCATGGGCTAGCTAGGTTGTGTTTTAGGGAAACAGTAGTCCGTTACTGGTTTTAATAAGTCATAATTTACGTTTGTGCCATGTGACAAACATGCAATGAAGACATTTCAGCAGCAAGAGAAATATATATCTGTGCACTCTTGGTAAGAAAATTTGGTTAGGATTCAGCACGTTGCTAATGCAAAAAAAATCTCAAATTCCCTGCATCTTTCCCATATCTTACTACAAATCTGTTAGTTTATTGAAATAGTTTCATATTGATTTTTGGCAGCAACTTTTCTGCAGAAAACTTTTCTTGCTTTCGTTCTGTAAAGTGTTTTAACGTTACATGTTTGATAATTTCCATGAAAATGTCTTCCTCAGAGTTGTGTTTATGAATTATTTGCCACTAGCATTTGATATCTAGCTGGGTTTGTTAAGCTGTGAATGGGCGGTCTGGTATTTACTTCTGTTTTATGATTGGTTGAATGAAAGTTTGTAATACAAATAATCCAGCATATACCGTCTAAATGTTTTGGTCAGTCACTATAAAATCTGTGCCTGTTATTCCTGTATCATTCCACTTGATGGCAGCAGAGTTAATGGCTTTCATACCGGAGTTCATATTAACAGGCATTTTGGTTTGATCCTATCATACAATGAATCTGCAAGGTTTTTCTGCTACTGACGGTGATTTGCAGCATCAGGGTATGCAGTATAAGAAAGTCTGTGGCTGTAACCTCTCCTATTGATTTCTTATGTTGTTTTTTTTTAATACCATGCAATTTGGCACAACAGAGTACATTTGCAGGACAGAATTACTGATTTTCAGTAGTAGCTTCATTTTAAATACGTCATGTCGCCAAAATTGTATTCAATAAATACAGAAGACTAAACTCTGATGGTCTGTTACCAATCCTACAGAATAGCACTGACTATTTCATAGCAATTAAAGTCTTCCCTTGGATTTTTATGGACTTTGGTACTTAAAGACCTGCTTCATGTCCCCCCAAAACCCAGCAGCTGTGTTCTCTTTTAATTTTGTGGCAGTAGCATAGGGAGGTTTTCCCAAGGGATACCATTCATCTTGGACAATCAGCACAAAATGAGCTGACCACTCAAATCCCATGCTAGGATTATTTTGAAGACTTAAGTGAAATTTGCATACTGTTTGGAAAGGTGACTTCTTAAGATATCTCCAACGGTGGTGGAAACAACATTGGAATAAGCATGTCATTATAATGCCTAGTACTAACTTCTTTAGAGCTTAATGCTTTTAAAACGTTATTTGGAAATATTCATTAATTTTTGCTAACCAGAAGGTTTTTTGTTCCAGGCAAACGAACTGCCAGCAGAACTAACAAAAAATGAACGCATCCTCCGACTCCTCCGTATGAAGGAAAAGCAAAGGAAAAGCTAATGCAGCCCTGCAGTAAATGGGGTTTGACAGAGACGCGCACTGACCACAGCAGCATGACAGTAACCCTCGGTTGCCTGAGAAGGGCTTGTTGGAACAGTTTGCAGAACTGATTAGCCTCTCCAGTACACGCTCCCTGACCGCACGAGGCCCTTGCCACAGGGTGACCACGGGCTAGGACCTCTGCCTGGCATGGCTGAGCGCAGAAGGACTGCGACGAGAGCGGGGTTTGGCCTGGGAGCTGTGTTTGTGCTGCAGCCCTGCCTGTACTCCAGGATCCCACCGGTCCCAGCCCCCACGTTTGCTCCCCTGTGCCTGCAGCGCACACATCCCCACACAAGCAAGGTGCTCCCACCGTTTCAGATACGCGTCCCCACACCGGCATGGCCACACACCTGTAACGGGTACCTCGGGGCACACGTGTGGGTGGGGAGCAGTCAGCCCTCGTGCCAAAAGATGCCCAGATCTCACAGCTGTTTGGATGCAGTCAGTCCTGGAGCAGCCCCATGGTGCTGCTGCTCTCCCTTTGCCAGCAGAGCTAGCTCAGACCATTCCTCTCTACCTCCAAGTGCCACATGGGGCTAGGGGTGACATCCCAACAGGAAAAATCTCCTGCTTTGGTAACATTTTGGATACGACATGAAGCTCCATAAAAATGATCCAGAGCGTTACAAATTACGCCAAAAGCTACCAACCAAACAATAAGCAAGGGGATGTCCTCAGTGGTAGCATCTTCACCTGTCAGTCAGGTGGTGGCACTTTATGGTGCGTACACAGCGCTATGGGGATCCATCCCCAACCCTACGGTCTACGTACATGCATTTTTGTGGACAGGGGAGGACCGGTTACTGAGCAAACCAACCAGGGCATATCACTCACTGGAGCAAGTTCACCAGAAATTCAGCTGTCGGGCACAACAGCACAGATGCTATGCAAGTGGTATACGTATGTTCTGCACACGCATATATGTGAAACTCTGGTTTAGTACCCACAGCTACTATGCAATGCACCCATTCCCCAGCTTTGCGATGGGCATTAAGGGAGAAATGCACAGTGTCCAGGTGTTTCAACAGCTGATGAAAGGGTTACAGGTAGCCACACTCAAACTGGACCACTAATTAACGTGGGCATGGCAAAGGAGCGCTCAACAGCAATTTTGGCCTTTGTTGTGGTTGAGAGGCTCAGACGTGCTACTAGTGCCTGTGTGGGGAAGGCAGTGCAAATTGGAGATGGTTTCTGAAGAGCTGTTTAACCATGTTGCTGGAAGACACTCCATTAAAACCCAGTCATTTTTGCTGTATAAACAGTATATATACTAAGTCCTGGTAGCCACAAGAACATTAGAGAATATTTTACAGTGAGTTGAGGTATAGGGTTAAGTCAGTACATAAATCCAAGTACTTCACCTGCCTTCAAACCTTAACAAATTAGTGAAAAATTCTATAAAAAGTTGAGGACAGAGAAGACTGTAAGGAAACAAAATGTTCCCCCTTTAAAAAATGTCTGCCTAGAATTCAACTGAATTGTTGCACTTTTGCTTCAGTGAGTTAAAAAAAAACACCATTTAGTGAGCTAGCACAAATGAATGTCGTTTACTTAGTGCAAATTAGCCATATATATTACCAAATCATAAATTTATTCTTTTTATGAGTAAGTTAGGTAAGAAGTCAGGGTTCTGGTGAAGAGAACAGAAGTGGGCATACCTTTGCTTGTGAGCTGGAATTGCTGTACAATTTCTATTCAGCATAAGAAAGGAAAGCTTTAAGTTTTCCAACAATATAAGAAGACACTAGGAAAATCTATTTGTTTAGGTAATTCTTGCTGCTGTATTTTTAAATCAAAATAATGTTGTGCCTAACAGAAACTTGCAGACAAACTGGTACAGAACCAAAGAATTATGCAAGATGCTTAGAGGATGATTGTATCCAGGGTTAAATTCTGCAAAAGACTAAAAAATACTGAGCATGCAGAAATCTCAAGAGCCTTATTGGGAACTTAAGTTGCACAGCATTGCATGGGACTTTAACAAGCAGCACTGAAGAGGATAGGTTTATCTGGAGCCCCCAGTGAGTTGAAGATGAACATACCGTTCTGGAGAATGCTAGAGGGACTCTAGGCAGCCTGGCCTCAATGTTGATCTTTCTCCCTAAAATTTCTTCAGGTCAACAGCTGGGAACAGCCACACTCTTTAAGATGAAAAGCCCTTTCACGGTTGTAAAGGAAAAGGATAATCATTAGAAGGTCTTCAGCAGTCATGCTGGGTGAGCAGTAAATACTCTTAATATCAGAAAGTCTGTAATGATCAAGCAGTCTTCCTAAAAAATGTGGACCCTCACCAACAGTGAGGGTTTTTTTTCCTGACAGCAGAGCATAGGAGAGAGGACAAGAAGTGGCAAGCCAACAGTGGTCCTGTGACAGCTGAAGTAAGCAAGCTGAGACAACGTGCAGATGTCCAGTATCTGCAGGTGGCCTCTCCTTTCTGCTAGGTGTGTTTTCTTGTGAGAGTGCTCTCACCCCAAAGTGGGCAGCTACTCACCAAAGAGCTTCTTGAACTCTGCCTGTCCATGGGAAGATGCATGTCTGTTCCCCACCATTTAGAGTAGCACTTTCCAAGTTGTGTGTCCAGCTGCCTCCGTGCCTGGCCACCACAGCAGGAACTCTTGTGCAACAAGCAAAGAACACGTGGGGTGCTGTATCCCATACAGAGCCCCTGCTGACCACCTTCTGAGAAGATGCAGTTACCAGGTCCTCTTTTTTTGAGTGATATTGGGCTATAACTGGCTTTTCTTCTTTCTAAAGAGAATTTGAAATGTGGGGCTTGCACAGGTTGAAGGGAGAGGATTGTAGCTCCCTCCCTGCTCTCATTAGGGCTGGCTGACAGGGCACACAGGCTGTGTGTGTGGAGGGGGATGCTCCGTGGTGAAGAACTGGCAGTAAAGTCTCTCTCTTCCCCATTCAGGCTGAAGTTGAATCTAGCTTCAGTGAAGACGTTATTCAGCCAACATGGGATTTTTAGGCATGGAAGCATTCTCGTTGGGAGCATCTGTTTCCTCCCGGAGCATTTGGAGAGAGGGCTGGTTTTAGTTTTGGGTTCCCTGTAAGCAAAAGGTGCTTATTCTGCCTGCAGATGGGCTCGGAAGCTGCAATACTGTTTCTCACCATGCAATTAACCTTTTCACAAAGAAACCTTAATAATTCTTAGTATTTATGTAACTGCTGTTATCTTTAAAGTGCTCAGTAAATACTGCTGTGGTTTGTTTGTTGTTCTAAAAGGGAAACCTGTTGTCCCTTCCTGGCTGAAGTGATTCACTAATATTGACAGTAGTTCTTTGCATAGTTGTCGTGCCTTTTGTGCAAGGCTTTCCAAGTGCTCTGTGGACGCTATTACCTTGGTAAGTTCCAAAAATGCACTGCTGGGGGAGGCAGGAAATAGATGATTTCCTTCACACACCAGTGAAATGCAGCAGCTCTTCAGCAGTTCATGTCAATAGACAAGGGTAAATTTGGACTAGAAATGAAGGGGCACCAGATCCATTTGGTAGATGGCAGGAGGAAGGTAGGTGAAATAATATAATATATATATAATGACGTGAAATAGAACTGGGACAGAATAACACCCCAAATTGGGTTTTGGGTTGGGTTTTGGGGTTTCTTTTACCCCAAAAGTGCCATATGCATATATATATCCATCTAACATCCCCAAAAAATCAGCTCCACCAGCACACTGCTTTTAGGCTTGGCTCTCTGCACATTCAGATGTGGGGGCCCTGCTTGCTGTCCTCTCCATCTGGGATTTATGCAGGTGCTACATCCTGGTGACTTCCCATCAGCTGCAAGTGAGCACAGGGGATGTGCAACCAAGAACAGGCTGCACAAATAAGTCAAGGAAAAGCATAGGGATTTTATTTCACTAGTATCAAGCCATTGTAGGATGGGGATGAACACAAGGAAAGGTCCACGGCATATGGAGAGAAGTGGCATCCCGCCAGTGACATGAGAGTGGTGCAGCCTCAGAGGTCCAAAATACATGGAGCAATTAATTAAAGATGATCGTTGCCGTGCAGTGTGCAGAGATCTATTTAGTAATGATACAAAAGGCAATGTTGTACCTCCTGATTTGCACATGCTGTTCTTCCCTTGGAGCAAAACCATCTCATGATTGATCTACCCACCTTTGTTTAGTTTAGAAGAGCTGAGAGGATTAGAGCACCAGATCAAACACCTGCAGGTCACATTTAATGCACTTTAACAATTACGATTATTTGCCTCAGAGTCAGAGCGTAATTGCAAGAATAATTCATGCTCTTTATTCAGCCAGTCCTGGTGACTACTGGGAAATCCATAAGTCAACCGAATTTCCTGTTGTCTCAGAAATTTCAGAATTGTTGTACAGAAAATGAGGTAGCACAAACCCTGGCCCATTTGTACTTCACTTAATAGGAACACTGAACAGACATAAATTACCGCCTTTGTCTGGCACCCTTGAGCCAGTGGCATTAAAATGTTAACATTTGCTATGAGTCCAAACCAAGATGATGCACAAGGCTCTTTTTTTCCGGCAACAGAATATTGTACTGCACACAACGGGACTAAATGGAGTTGTGCCTTCTCACAGCATTCGGTCTTTGGGAATGTCATAATAGTTTCATACTTTTCTGAATTCCACAGTTTGTTTTGAGCTGCCCTTTTAGGCATTTGATAAAACCTATATAAATTTATGTAACTCCATGTAAGACTAACAGTCTGCAACAGGAATGTTGCTTTGCTAGAACACATTTTTCCATACCATCATTTCAATAAAAAATAATATACTACTGGGATTACCTTGTCTGCATACTTCAGTATTCCTTTCCTTTCTTCTGTATTCTACTGATTTTCTTTGTAGAATAACAGAATTAATTTCCTACTTATGTAAAGACCACTTTGCTCTATTCTACTTGATGATTAGACTTTTATTATTTTCCAGGTCTTTACAGATGAGATAGCATTCACAAAACAAATAAAGCCAATGCCATGGCTTGAGAAACAGGAAAACTTAATTTAGCATAACATAACAAGGTTTGTTTCAAAGATCCAGACATCACTGACAGACTCCCCTTAACATTAACATCCATTAGGTCAGATCTGAAGGGAAGATTATAAAAAGCAACTTAGGAACCAAAGGAATAAGACTATGGTTTTATTCAGTGAGTCAAACATGTCTTGGTTGTTCTGTTACTATTCCTAAATGTGAAACTGGTCCTTACACTGACCTACTTCAGTTTAAAAAACAAAATGTCTACACCCTTCTGATGTGCTTATTATGGTATACAATGGATTATGAACGCAATAAAAGGGGAAAAGAGTCAACACTGAGAACCATATTTTTTGCCTTGCGTTTGACATCCCAGGCTTTTTGCCTCATTTCTACAATTTTCTATTGTAGTGAGCTACATTTTAAATCATCATCAAAAATTCCTACCTCCACAACTCAGTAAAGCATCTCCATCTATTCAGAGAATATCAAAAGAAAGTGCTGTGATTTGTTCACGGCTTAAATCAGTACAAAGGATGATTTCTGGCTCCTTAATTTTGCACATGAAAGCAAAACAAAACAGTGTCAACAGGCTGAAACTAGAAAAATTCAAACTTAAAGCTGTGGATTTTCAAGAGTGAGGATAATTATCCATTGGAAAAAATTGCTGTGATGATTCCTTCATCACTTGACTTAAAAAAAAAGCAACAAAAAAACCAAAACAACAATTAGTTTTCATTCTGAAAGATGTGTTTCACCTGAAACATTTTGTTTGATTCAGGAATTACTGGATGAAATTATGTGATATGCAGGAACGCACATTATGTGATCATAATAGTCTCCTTGATCTTAAAATATATGAATCGATACATTGTTTGCTTTATCTCCTCAGTGATTTAAAGAGATGCAAACTCTCATGAGATCAATAACAAGACCATATGCCTAGCAACTGTGGCTCTAGCCACACAGCAAAATGAAATATGAGACACATACCTAAGATGTCTCTAAATAACCCATTTCACTCTCTCAATGTTGACAAGGCATTTTAACTGGACTAATGCTTTAATGTCCTGCTTTTAACGTTGAGTCAGTTCATTCAGAGCAGGCACAAGGGCTGTGTAGTGCTGCACCCTGCCAGGGAGTGGGGATCAGCAGAGTAATCTGGGATGTGCCGGGGGGAACACAGTGAAGTCAGGAAGAAACATGGGATGCATAATTTTGCTGTGGCAAATGTTTCACTGGCTCAGATGCCCAGATGGAGCATGGCACGAACCAACTACACAGACCTGAAGCAGACTGCAATTTTATACGTACTACACAGATGTGTTCTTGGGTGGTATACACATATACATATATGCATACATACTTCGTATCCAGCATATGGGTATAGGCTCCTATAATCACCTTGGAAAAGTGACACCACAATCTTGTGGTCTGCTTACCCTGACTACATCACATGAAGAAGCAGAACTATTCCACTTTCTGGCGGTCCCTTGGCCATGCTACTGCACCAGACCCTACTCACTGTTATAAACTATTATAAAACCGACAAAATGTCTTTCAGTCCAGCCATAAATAGCCTGTTCCTCAGGTGAATTGTGGCTCATAAACCCGTCTCCCATTCCTCCTGCCAAGTCTGATTTTGGTAGTGCCCTCAGGGACTGCCCTCTGATAATTTTGCCCATATTCTCCACTTTGACAGCAAATCCTGACTTACTCACCAAGTGGCAGCACGGTGCTCACAGGGACTCAGTAAACTGACACTAATGCAAAGCAGGAGCCTTACGCAGCCATTAATAGCTCAAATCTTGAATTTGTTAGCATATCAGTGCTTATGCACAGTATCTGGCACAAGTACACACTGCACCTATTTGCTCACAGTAACAAGTGCAGCGTGTCTCCAGACTCTGCTGCAATAATAAGCTGCATTTCTACAGTGTTTTCCTTCAACAGCTCACTGGTTGACACCTGGTTTTGGAGTCCTTAGGCCACACGTCACCGTACAACTGGCACAACTTTACAGAAAAGGAAATTGCACTGAAGAGGTTGAGACCTGCCCACATCATCCAGCAAGGTTGTAGCAAAACTGGAACAAACTTTGAATCGTTTGAATTCAAGTGACAAGCTTTTGATACTAGGCAATAAATATCTTCACCTAATTCTATTAAAAATGAACAAGTTGCCATGACTTCAATGCTAAATTCAGAAAGGACGCGATCTTAAAGAGTAACTAACTATAGGACTTTCTAAGGTTAGACAGGGACACACTGGTGCAGGTTGATAGAGCAGCCATCAAAATACACTAGGGCAGATACAAAGATGAGAAGATGAAAAGACTTGATTCAGCATCACCTGACATACTACATGCATATTTAAGTGAGTACTGGCAGCACCAGGCAGATTGCTGTCAGCCTCCTCAGACTGATTTGATCCCACATGGGAAGTCCAAACACAAGAGCATCTGAGCAGAGTAATAGGTACACTGAGGCAGGTATAATTAAAGGGCGAGCAGGTTGCCACAGGTGAGGAAGGCTGACAAATAAGAGCTGATGAAAAGAACATGATTTGCTTACAACACCAAATAGGAAACACCAGCTTTGTTTAGTACAAGTATTATTCCAGTTTAGCTGGAAAAACAGTCCTGGAACAAGCTATAGTGGTTTGGGCTGGCTCTACAGAAAAATGGAGGTGTGAGAAACTGGGTGAAATTTCTCACTCACCTGTTGCAGCTCGTCTTTACACGGATTGCAAGATGTCCAAGGAAAATATCCTGCTTTCCCATGTGCTTGTGCAGAGTGTTGCTTAACGTAGCTCCCACTTCTTGCAAGTGCCTCTGGGTGCTATCGCAAGAGAAATAATAAAGGTTTGTAATAAATTATGGAGAATAAACAGTGATGGACATTTTAATTGATTTTGCTGCAAAGCAATCACGTACTGTGTTTCCATTTGTATGTGCAAGTAATTCTTCAGAAAGATTGCCATCTAGAAATTGCAAGGTGGTTATTACCATTAGGCGCTTGATTTTCTAATGGAAGTGGCAACACAGGTTTCATTTCTGCATTGAGCAAAGCGGTGGAACCAGAGTGGGGGCCACACCTCTGAACGTTCAGGGTTTTCCATCAAAGATGCAGAACAGAACAAAGCAGGCAGCTGTTTTACATGAGCTCCCTGGCAGGTACCTTTATACTGTTCAGGGTATCCAGTGAGAGCTTATTTGATCCTAACAAACAATTAAAGGACTTGTTGGATGTGATGTAGGCACCAAGTGACACCTTACATTGTTAATTAATACTAGCCTCTTCTTCCAGGCAGCAAAATTTAGTTTTGTATATGCTGCCAAGAACCAGAATAAGTATTCCCCATTAGCCTTCCAAGCAAACAGTCCCTAAGAGCTATGCATAATCCTGGGTTTAAGAGGGAACCTTGTAAGACATAACTTGATAAATACCTTTCAACGAGAGCAGCTGGGAGTGGGGATGGTCTCTCTTGGGCCATATGTACCACAGACAAGGCAATGAGCTGCTGGCAGAATTGGTCTGGGTTAAGTAGTCAGGGCTACTTTTTCCCTGCCTGGAAGGAAAGAGGTAAGTTTAAGATGACACACTCAATGGCACCAACTTTGTCATCGATAACACTCATGCAACTACACTTAAATGTCCAGAAGCTGCTCGGGACAGCTCAGCATCCTCACCCCCTGAATACAGCACACAGCCATGATGAAGACCAAGGGCTGCAGCAGAACTAGAGGAACACCCTGCTCTGCTCTGCTGGCTGCCAGCGTACAGAGGCAACACAGAAACAGATGCACGTTTGGGTTTCTGCATCTGCCATTCTGCAAGATTTCACAAGTCTCTAGGACCAAAGATAGGCATAGTCTGATTAGTGTTTGTTGACCAGTCTTCACATCTATACCACTTCCCTTCAGCTTGTGAGTGCAAAAAGGCAGCGCTCTCTGAGGGATTGCACTGGAATAAGTGTGAATTGACACAGCTGTCTCAATACAGATATCCATCTGAAATTCAGATAGGTGTTAAAAAGACTACCTCTTTTCTCTGTTTATACTGTAGGTGGTAGACAAGTGTGATGTTATGGACTTAATTAGTTTATGGTGGAAGTGGTCCCTGCAATAGATTCCCTTTTGCTTGTTTTGCAACATTATAAATCTGTTCTCTCTCACCTGTGATTCCTGAATCACTTCTCTATGTAATTCATTCAGAAAGGAAAAGCCACTTCCATTTAGTCTGTTTTGCTATCCCTCACCTTTTCCACAAGCACTGAAACAAGCTTCTTGTGGTTTTTTTGACTTGTAGTAGCTATGCAAGCTATGCACAATGCATCCTCCGTTTACATGGAGCACCTAGAAAATATGGCAACTCGGTCCCTGGCTTTTAGGATCATACTGCACAGTGCTGAAAGTGCTTTTTTTTTATTTATGACACCACAGTTAAAACACAATATAACTTCAACTACTCTCTAGCCTTGTTTAGCACTTCCCAAATGCCAAGTCCCCCATCTGGGATGGAATAACTCCATGGAAAAGTACAAGCTGGGCAGTGACTGGACAGAAAGCAATTTTGCAGAAAATAACAGGGTGTTTGGACTGGGCAAGATGGTGAACATGAGTCAGTGGGCTGGATCAGCAGGGGGGGTAGACAGTAGGTTGAATGCTGTGGCTATTCCCCCCTCTTTGACACTTCTAAGGCCACACCTGGAGTCCCATGTCCAGGTTTGGGCTTCCTAGAATTAAAAAAAAAGCCAGAACACTGACATACTGGAGCAAGTCCAGTTTATTGCCACCACAACGGCTGGAGCTGCTGGAGCATGAGCTGTGTTTGTTTAGCAGAAAGAGGGCTCTGGGGACATCTTACGGCTCAGACAGCTACCAAATGGGAGGATGCAGAGAAGGGGGAGCCACGCTCTTCTCAGGCAGGCACAGTGACAGCCCAGGAGGATGCAGGATGGAGCCACAACATGGGAAAATCTCTTCAGATAGAGGAGAAAACCACTTTACTGCAAGTGTGGTCAAAGAGTGGAACAGTCTGTCCAAGGAGGCTGTGAAATCTATTCCAAACACAGCCAGGGCAAGTCCCTGTGCCACCCGATCTAACTGGAGTCCGCTTTCAGCAGAAAGTTGGGACGACCTGACCCTCCTTCCAGCTGTCCCCGGCCAACATGTTAGCCCCTGAAGCCACCACACCACAACTAGTCTGCGCCTTTGTCAGCAGATGGCAATACCAGCTAAATTACACATTTTATTCCAGCGGAGCAATGTTCCCGGCCGCCAAGGCAGTGAAATCACTGAGTGGCTACAGGGGAATGAATGCCTCATAACCTCAGCTTCTGGCGTGCCTCCCGCCAGCCGGGCCCTAAACCGGTCCCGAGCAAACCGATCCCAGACAAACAGCGGCGTCAGAGCCCCACCGGTGCTGCCAAACCCGCCGATTGCGACACCGGCCAGCCCGCCCGCCGGCACCCCGGGACAGCCCTCTCTCACACGGCGGCCGGGCCTTGCCGCGCTGGGGCCTCCCGTTTAGGGCAGCGGCACGGGACCGCGCCGACTAACGCTTGGGAAGCGGCGAATCGCTAACTCTGCAGCACACACTCAAGCCCGCTTTTGCCAAAGCCGGGATTTTTAAAGCGATTTCGACGTTTATAAAACTCCGGGTGGGATCAACGCTCCCACGCCCACGCCCAGCCGCTGACCGGGTTTGGCGCTCACGGAGGGAGACACAGCTTCGCTCCGACACCGGCTCCACCGGCTCCACCTCCCCCGCCGCAGCCGGGCCGGGTATTACCCCCTCCGCCCTCCGCCCGCCGC